TTTTTTTTTTTTTTTTTTTTGGCCCCTGGACGATGATCAAACTTCCTCAGAGAGCAAATGTACTGGACGGAAGGCCGGAGAAACGCGATTGACGTCATTTCACGGTTACCCCGAATGGTCTGAGAACCCCCATGGGACAAGAGGAGAGAGAAAAAAAAAAACTGGGCCCAATATGAGTGGACCTTCATTACAGGGAATGACTCCATTCATTTTGCTCATTGCAATGTAATGAACAGAAAAATTCTCTCCATCAAATACGAGGTGTTACCAAATACTTTTTCATGGTTGCTTATCATCCCGATCCCCAAAAACATAAATTCGGTTTAATACCGACCGCCCATCGGGAAGCCACGCAACTCGTGGTCGCTGATGCCGACTCCCTTGCATCGGGTCACGACGAACCCAACCCTAATCTCATGGATAACAACCTTGTCCCATAGCGTTCAGCAATAATCTCTTATGGCTTACTTTAGAGTATCTATAATTAAATCCCGCAGAATCTTAATCATAAAAATACTATGGAGATCGAGCATTGCGGTTCGTATAGCCTGCATAAGTAATACTGTGTGGGACTTTCTCAATCCCGTGCCACTTTTTTGTCTTCTTTCCCGAAGCGGGCATTCCTCGACTCCCCCGGCCCAGAACGCTTCCAGTAATGGTTGCTGGATACCCCCATCCGCACTAAGGTGGAGGTACCAAAACCACCAGCCTGCCTTTTACCCTGTTGCGGGATGTTATTACCATACCCGTGGGGACGGTCGCTGTTGGCCGCCAGTCAGACTATGCGCCCATGATGTAGGGGGGACTATCCGCCTCCGACTAGTGCAATGTCCGGGGGAAGTCAGATCTCGCAGCTGGACGACAGACTTCGGCCGGCGTGGCAAGTGGATGACATTGGAGTCCAAGTGGAATGCAGCCCGTCTTCCTGATTCGGTCCTGGTCTGCAACCATGGGCCAACCAGAGTAAAGGAGGTTCTTCCTTGATGCATGACCCATGCGGTCCAGTTTCCCGTTGAAAGACGAATTTGGGCCATGAAATCAGTGGATGATCGAATTTTCAAAAAGAGGGGGAAAAAATTAGAAGAAAAATAAAAATAAAATAAATAGAAAACGGGTGTGTTAAGTAAGAGGAAACCCTCTCATTTGGTTTCTTTCTCCCACCTGCATGTAATGAATTCCCTCTCGCAAGTTATTATTTTATTGGTTGCGTAGGTATAAAACAAGGACAATAATAAAATAAAAAAGACAAGGATAGGTATATGGACCCAACAACCAGCGCGAGGTACATATAATACTTTCTATATGGTAAGTTTAGGTTGAGGTAGTATTTCCACTTGGTTCCTTAGGCCTGTTCCCCCATACTTTCCCTTTCTGGGTGACTACCTGATTGAGCTGCAAAGCACGGTTTGGCTGCGTCTTTGCCTTTTTCAGTCACTGCTTTCTCACTCTCGGTCTTTTTTTACTTTTACTTTTTTTTTCTATTTCTATATCCTCTCCTCTCCTCCCACCTCTTCAACTTCTCTTTCCTACTTCAACCACTCTCTTCCCCTCCGTTTTCATACATCTATATTTCCTACCTTCATTGTGGTACACCCTCTACTTACCTCCACTTCCAAACACTTCTACTACCTACATATCACCTGTTACTGCATTGGGAAGATTGCTATTGCCTACCCTGTAAGTCTTACTTTCTCCATACATCTTCAATTGTCACTCTTATGGTCTATGAACCCCCTCACTTGGTTTCAACTTCATATATCCAGGATACTAAGCTTTTACCCTCCCTCTCTCTCCCCCTAAGTTTCTAACCAACGACTTATAGGATCAAATATGGCCCCTCTTTCGGACCAGGCCATAAACAGGGACGAGAAGCTCCACGAGTCGGGGGCTTCTTCTTCGTCTCAGGCCGACGGAGGATTCGACCTCGGTGAAAAAGAGGCTGAGCCACCCCTGCACAAACCCCAGCTGGGTTTGGCAAATGACCCTGCGGCTGCTGGAACTACCTTCCATCAGCTGGAAAACACCGCCTTGGACGGGGGGAAGATTGAGTTGACAGAAGAAGATTGCTACGATCAGCTAGGCTACTCTTTCCCAAGTTGGAGAAAATGGATGATCATCTCAGTGATCTTTCTTGTCCAGGTTTCCATGAATTTCAACACCAGTTTGTATTCCAATGCGCTTGGTGGCATTTCGGAGGAATTTGGCGTTAGTATGCAGGCTGCTCGTTGTGGAGCGATGATCTTCCTTGTGCTCTATGCGTTTGGTTGCGAGCTGTGGGCTCCGTGGAGCGAGGAACTGGGTCGCAAACCGATTCTCCAGGCGAGTTTGTTCCTGGTTAATATTTGGCAACTGCCTGTTGCCCTCGCCCCTAATTTCGCCTCTATCATGGTTGGCCGTGCGCTAGGTGGTCTCAGCTCCGCTGGAGGGTCGGTCACTCTCGGTATGATTGCAGATTTGTGGGAAGCCGATGACCAGCAATACGCTGTAGCCTGTGTGGTCTTCTCCTCGGTTGGTGGATCGGTACTTGGACCAGTTGTGGGTGGCTTTGTTGAAGCATACCTGCCATGGCGCTGGAACATCTGGATCCAGCTCATCTTTGGAGGATTTGTCCAGATTGCCCATTTTTTCCTCGTACCCGAGACCCGGACGACTATTCTGATGGACAGGATTGCCAAGAAGAAGAGAGAGAGCGGCGAAAATCCTAATATCTATGGACCAAACGAGCTCATCCCCTACAAGGAGCGTTTCTCCATGAGAGAGATTCTGATCACCTGGGTCCGTCCGTTCAAGATGTTCTTGACTGAGCCGATCGTCCTCTGTCTCTCTCTTTTGAGTGGTTTCAGTGATGCCCTGATCTTCATGTTCATTCAATCATTCGGTCTTGTGTATGCGCAATGGAACTTCAGCACCGTAGCTTTGGGTCTCTCGTTCCTTCCGATTCTCGTGGGTTATTTCATCGCGTGGGCTTCCTTTGTCCCTGCGATCCGGAGAAATGTTTACGAACGGCGGATGCGGCCAGATGACGAGCATACCCAATACGAATCCCGGCTTTGGTGGCTGTTGTATACTGCGCCGTGCCTGCCCATTGGTTTGATTGGCTTCGCATGGACCAGTCTGCCGCAGACACACTGGATTGGAACTATGGTTTTCTCGGCGATCGTCGGTATTGCTAACTATAGTATCTACATGGCTACTATCGACTACATGGTCTGCGCATACGGTCCGTACTCGGCCTCTGCGACGGGTGGAAATGGATGGGCGAGAGACTTTCTCGCTGGTGTCCTTACCATCCCTGCTACTCCATTTTACCAGAGTAAGTGATAGACGAAAATTGGCTGGAATACAGCAAGCGCTAACCAGGAGTGTTCAGATATTGGCGGAAAGTACCATCTGGAGTACGCGTCTACGATTCTATTCTGTATCTCATTCGTGCTTGTGATTGCAGTATATGTGATCTATTGGTACGGACCGACACTGCGCAAGCGCTCGCCCTTTGCCCAGCAATTGTCCGATGCCCGCGTCGAGCTGCAAACCCACGGGCGCCGGCTTTCTAAGATCCCCTCTGGGTCCCGGGCGAACTCCTTTGCTCGGTCCCAGCAGAACTTGCGCATCCGTCAAAATCTTGGGAGCCGTCAGGGAAGCTACATTGGATCCCGCCCTGCTTCGCATGCTAACTCCCGTGTGAATTCACGCGTCAACTCCCGCCGGAACAGTGTGAATCAATAGATGAGCACGTCTCGACATCTCTGCAACATTGGCCTGGGGCCGATTGAGTTGTATGATGACGATGTTACGGAAACGATTGACGAAGGTTACTTTCCGCCATTGGCCGACATGCAGTGACTCTTGTCTTGGTTACGTCCAGGGTCCTTTTGTGGAATGGCAAGGTAGCGGATCTTCTCAAATTTTGTTTTTGTTTTTCTCTTTCTACTTCTTGTTTCTATGGGGTCTTTTTGGTTTCACGTTCATGGAAATTCTACTGGAGGGGTTTAGATGTATGTACGTTGAGGTATCACGAACGGGTGCATCTGCGTTGGAAAACGGGTGTTTAAGCTGAACGTGTGCGTTCAAGCGACCGTACGCCTGATTGCACGTCAATAGGCTTTAATTTCTTGTTTAATCTTTTATATCCCAAGCCTCTGTTTTTCCATCCTTTGTTCTTGTGTATGTATTGCATTTTGATTCCCAACCACGGTTTCTTCAAGAAGTGCTGCTTCCGGAAATGTGTCGAAGATGCTGTAGGATAATAAAACAAACTCAAACGCTTACAGACGTTGCTTATCTATCTTCGTAGGTAACTTTATGATTGGAGTGCCACTGACCATTTCGTGTCATGTCAATGTAACCCTCCGCGGGAAGTATATACCTACGGGATGTTATACAGGATGATAAGGATTCATTCCACATGTGCCCTGCGGGGTGAAGGGAGGAGGATGTTGGTACCGATCTGTGGGGGTGGGACCCCTTGATCGCTCTCATACTCAATGCGTCTATCAAGGTATGACTCCATGATCCTGCCGAAATCGACGGATCAGGGAACCGTTCGAATTGAGTTCTTCCTCGTATATCTCCACAGGTCCGTTCCAACCGAACAAGGTACCACAGGGGTCCGGTACTACCCTCCGGAACTCTATTCCTGACTCGCGTGTAGCCCACCTATGAGACCTAGACTCGTCCACCCGATACTACCTAGATAAGCTTAACGTTGCTGGCCGTTTCGGGTAGATGGGGTTCTGACTCTTGAGTAGTAACGGGGAGTATCTGGGGTACCTGGTGGGGTCATGACTTCATGCCTATGACCTCATTGACTTGTTCGTTTGTTTATCTGATTTGTTTATTTGGTATTTTTGGTGAGTTTGGGGGTTGGTACTTGGAGGATTGGTTATTAGTGTTGATTTGGAGTTCCATGTTATGTTATGTTATGCTATGCTTTGTATGAACATATGTACTGTACCTTAGATGGCTGGGTAGGTAGGAGGGAGGGCATCATTCCTGAGGAGCTAGGAATGGGGATGTCTGGACCTGGGAATTGGTGAAGGGTTCTTTAGGAGTCTAGATTGTTGCGAAGGATTCTTTGGCGTGGGCATGTGATCCTGGTTGTGTTGATAGTTGAAGTTTGAAATACTCAGGAATAGACGGGTCGAGACTTTCATATGGTCACTTCACTGCGCCGTGCTGTGTGGTCTAGGCAAATTTGTTTTCGTGCACTCGAATGCAGTTATTTATATCGCCAAAGAAGAAACATCAAACCTACACTGAAGGATATTCTTAGTGGGCCATGGATATACATATACACGATTGATTATTTTATATATTCCGTTTGCGACTATAATCCTGGGGAAGAGGGAGTCGGAGAAGAAGGACCGCATTTCTTGCCCTCTTCCTTTTGCACAGCGCCCATTAATTCTGCCGCCTCGTCGCAGTGTTGCGCCATCGTCAGATCCTTATCGGTTAGACCGCGGGGTTGGTGCGTGGTCCAGTGGATGTCGACGGAGCCGATTCTCTGTTTTTATAGAATTGTACCTTGTTAGGATTTGTTTTGGTTCTGTTTGAGTCGGGGGCACTCACGACTGTGATGGTTGGGTGGTGTTTCTTGGTTGCGCTTTGCGATGCGACGACATTGACGAAGCTCTGTTGTTTCGGTTTATTAGCTTTAGACGTATGATAGACAGAGTAAAGAAAGTAGCGGGTATAGATATTCAAGTAGAAGTTTGCTGGGGAAAGAAAGAGGAGAAATGAACATACCACCGCCTTAAAATATGTCTTGAAGTAGTATGTCTTCTTCACGCCCATTCCATCCTGATCCAACGCCCACCCTTGTTCCAGTAACGAGTCCAGCTCCGGTTTCAATTTACTTCCGTCTATGCCTCGGGCAAATTTGGGTACTGCGGCCATTGTTGTCAAGCTGTGCGAGAAAGTTCGGTGTGCTTGCGAAGGTGAAGGATAGTTGGATGTGCGGAGAAGAGATGGCGATCCGGAGCGGAGAGTATGATGAGAAGTGGCGATTGAGGCGGAGGAAGACGGGAAAGCTCGCTGGTGATATTGGCGGATTGGTCGACGGAGTTGCGATGTCAGTGATCGACTGGGGCGTTGTAGCGCCCTAGACACGGTGTTCATGTTTGTTGTGGAGATTGATGAACTGGCGGACAATTGTATAGAGCTAGCTTAGCTGTTGCTTCGCTTTATTCTGCCGGTGGACGGACCACCTCCGGGTTTTATAGAGGCTTGCCGCTTTTAGGGCTAATTCACGTGACCTCATTTTCTAAGGTACGGGTGCAAGAAGGTACCTCGTAGTTTGAAAGGGCACTATTGTGCTAGATAGTGGTTTTGTATATGCTGGTGTTGAAAGATGAGTGAGTTATATTGGCACTGAAAGTGGCCGAATTGCTGTGGGTTAGGACCCAGTGCCTCTCCAGCTACGCGTTGAAGCATACATATACAGCGGCCCTCTTATAGATAGCGAGAGATGAGATTCTCCCCTCTTTGAGCTCGCCAATTATTGGTATACCGCAGAATCTTTGGGCAGTAATGAATGGCCCATCCCCCATTTCTTTATAAAATTTCGGTCACTTCACAATTTCGCAGATTGGATGGTTTGCCACAGACCAGCAGCATACTATTGTCGATTGCGTTTGGGTTCCAGTATATCTGAACAGAGTTCATCTTCATCGTAGCGTTTCTGTGCACGGATAAGTTTATCTCGAGCCCGAGGGTCGGAAAAGAAGTCTAGCCATGGGTGATGTCGGTCCTGCTTGGTTGAAAGGCGACACAACGTCTGCCTCACAAAGGCCGGCTCTTGGGGTTAGTACATGTTCTTGACGATCTCTGTACCTCCACAGCGTCTGGCTTCCCTTCTCATTAATCAGTGTAGGAACTTCGCAACCAATGGAACTACCACTGACGGTATAGCCTTTGGTCCAATCTATTCTGCCGTCGCCGTCGCTCGACCCGGTCCGGTGGTCCTTCAAATCGACATTGGGTTTGAGGACAGCCGCATTCTCTGCTACCCTTGTCTGCATGGGAGTGATTCGAAATTACTCTTAGATACTAGATCCTTTTTCTGTTTGTCTTCGCCATCCTCTTTTCCTTGGTTCGTATTGATAGAGGGTTTTCGTTGCGGGGTTGCAAATGGTCGGTAATCACTTGCGCGTGGAGGCTCCACCGCTTCAGTAGGGTTTAATGGTTGGCCACTTTGATATTAGCCATCATGGATAATTAGTCTGATCACTCAACTTCGTCCTAGACTCGGGGTTAATATGTAGATTTAATTGTGGAGCTGTAATTATTTAGTCTAATCTCTCTTGGCCATTGTGTGAACTTGGCGGCAGGAATCTGTCCGACTGGTTGGCCACTTAAATGATATATAGCTTTGGAAGAGGAACCTATATCATTTCAAGTTGAATGATCGATGTCTGTAATCAATGCTGTAGCACATCCCATGGCTATGAATACAACGCCATAGCTGGCGGACTTACCTTACATTGTTGTGAGTCAAAAAATCACCAAGGAGATTATTCATCCCGTTCCGACACTTCTACAGTGCACTTAGCCGTGTCTCATTTTGATTTTGATACTGAAGACAAATTAGTGGTCAAGAGATGGAGGAACTCGATTGAATCGAAAGTCGGTGGGTGCCACAACGTCGTATGCAGGGGTCATATTAATTGGGAACCAGTTGTCCTTACCGGTGCCAGTGAGTGTGGACTTGGAGGTGCTACTGCTCTTGCTCTGGCACTGGCACGGCCCTCCCATTTAGTTTTACTCGCTCGCACAGAGAGCAAGGTGCGCAATGTCATCTCCGCAATCAAAGAGATCAGTCCCGGGACCCTGCCTGCTTTTGTTCACATCGAACTTGACGACCTTGACTCCGTTCGTCGGGCTGCAACGGATGTTCTCGGCGTTATCTCTAAGATAGATGTGTTGATTAACAATGCCGGTGTTATGGCTATCCCTTGGAGCAAGAGTAACAGTGGTTTGGAAAAGACCCCAGCCATTAACCATCTCGGGCAATTCCTCCTTACGAAACTGCTGATACCTTCTATACTGGCCGCTGGCCCCGGATCTCGCATCGTCAATATCACAAGTGCATCTGCCTCCAGAATTTATTGAGAGCTTAACCATCACAAAAATGCCTGATTGCTGTTCGACGTGGACGTAAACAAAGTCGAACATGACCAGAAGAATCGAGCTGAAGAGAACTCAATCATAGCTTAGAATCTGAGCGGTAACTAGTCGTTTTCTTCATGATATGAATAGAACATGCCATCGAAGGGAAAAGCTTAGGCAGTAGGAGTAGGTTATTGAGAAGTTTATACGGGTTTCAGGGTTCGAAAAGAGATATCAAAAGACAAAATCATCAAAATGGAGGTGAAAGGAAAAGAAGTATAAGTAAGCAAGTGGTCCGTAGATAAGAGTCATATGTGTACTCCAAATGAGATGGACTCGTAGGATACATTATAAGCTTTTGTCTGAGAAGAGCCCGCTATCATAATTGAGGATCCGGCTCTATGAGTGGCTCTAACATGACCATACGGGTTTTGACAGGCGAAGGAGAAAGGTAATAACGCACAAAGCACTAGCATCTCGATAAGACCTTTACGGGTATGTGAATGTCCCTACTTTTAGCTTGGGTTTTTCGAGTGTTTTTGGTGTAGGATTCACTAAAGCCGTACATAGTCGAATGCGGAATTGGATACACATTACAAAGGCACGACTTATTGCCTCAGACTCCCCAGTGTCTAGTCCTATCATAAGCAAATTGTATATCGGAAGGTACCGGTTTAAACAAAGGGCTATTTACTGCCACACGATAACAGGGCTTTTTTCTTTGGACGGAATTGACTCTTGAAATTTGAGCTTCTATGGGAAATGATTCCTATGAGCAGCACCCGAGATGGCACTGTTGAAGTAATCAAAAAATTCAGGGGACTCAATACTATTGTTAGTACATTGGTGGAAGAGGTCCTAGATCAACAAAGGTCAATCGAGCATCCACAGAAAGAAAGAGGAAAATTTGGGGCCTATCATAATTAAAACGAAGCGTTCTTATAGAGTTTTAACTTCTAGAGTGACTTCTTAAAGAGGGCAAAGGTACATGAGAGCTATGTGTAGGCATTTCTACCGGCAATCCACCAAATTGGTGATATATATACGACACGTACAACTACGTTACAAAAGAGGAAAGTATGTGCGGTGTAAGTATGTGAGGAATCAATTTTGGATGAATCACTGCGGCATCACTACAGATGATACTGTCTTTTCTTTTGCGTTTTATGTTGGAATTATACGATTGAGGCAATGCATAAGTATCAGTGGTCGATACGTAAAAGATGCTGTGGGTATAACATCCACTTGTCTATCTTTCGTTCCCCAACTCCCCCACAAAGCGGAACCGAGGAACCCGAGTTAAAAACGCGGATCGAGAGACTATAAGATGTTCATCTTATTAGACCTGTTTAAGTCTTAACGACCTTTATACCACTAGGTCAGATTGGGGTTTACCGACTCCAAGACCAAAACGGTAAGGGTTGACTTAATTAAATAAAGGGGAAAATAATTAGTCAGCCGCACAAACCTCTTTTGACGTGCATAAACGCGGGTCTCGTGCCCGCGTGACAAATAAGGTTGAGAACCCAAAAAAAAGAAAAAGCCAAGCTTATCAACAAAAAAATTAGGAAAATCCTCGATTCCTCCTTCGAGGCAATACAAGTTGAAACTCCTCCCAATTGTGAGAGTAAGACATTGTGGTTGAGATCTACAGGTACGCCACACGGGGCCCTATTCTGACAGCGATCGACCGTGAAAGTGTGTGTCCAGGCTCGCTATCGTTTAACTAACCAGCTAGCGATGATTCCATTCCCATTTCCACTAACGTCGGCCCAATCAGCGGAAAACCGTTACCCAAGGTGGAGACCTTCGAGGGGCTGAATTTCAGGGGTATTCTCTCATCTTTCAATGTGTTGGGACTTGGGAGAATATTTACTCCGTACGGAGGACCCGGGGTTTCGTCATCTTGGTCGAAGACGTTTTGGCATGGACTCAATGTTGAACTACGAGCCCGATCAGAAATTCAGATCGCAATGAAATCTGTGCTTCATTTTCAATCCTCTTGTCTCAGAACGCATCCTCTCTCCACTACCGGTTTCGCTTGCGAGACTCATCCGTTTCAGGTTTGCTCATCGCCTACACTATCACCGCCGCGACTAAGGCAGCAGCTTCCTTAGCCACAGACTAGTGTGCATTGGTACGTCCGGTTTAATTTTAACACAAAAGGAAAAATTAAAAAAAAAAAAAAAAAAATTGGTCATGACTCCGTTGCGGCTGGATTCTCATCGCCCATCCAGACCCGGTCTTTTCGACAAGATCTCTTTCTCTTCCCCCCTCCCACACTCTACCCTTCCCATCTTGCTTTTTTAACACTCACTTACCAAAATTAGAGCGCTTTGGAGGACCATGGCTTCGGTCCAGTCGATAGAGTAGTCATATCGCCCATTGATTTATTGTAGCGACCCCAACTCAATTTCCTTCATTTATTTATTACGACACGATTTCGGACCACCAGACGATCATTATTGCTTCTGAATTCATATTTCAACTCCCATTTGATACCACATCTCTTCGACTCTCCTCAATTGATGATCAATGCGCTATTTAGTAGACACCGTGGGTCCATCCGATACTGCAATGCCCATTATCCCACCGTCTTTTGTGGAGAAAGAAGCACTACTTCGAACCGCACTTTCTGCTCAATTCGTCATTCGTTCAACTACACATTGTTTGCGCCAATCGTACACTTTCTACTAATCGCCCATCCTCAGCTCAATAGTGGTTCGGCTATATTGGAGCCCATGACACGAGGACAATAGCACATCTCGATTCGCATGAGACCCAACCAGTCCTAGGGCCCACGAAACAAAGATAGCTGTCAACCGAAGACAGCAGAATGACAGTGAACACTGAGCCCCCTAAATCATCGGTCAGCGAGCGCAGAGGCCAAACCCTAGCCCCGTTACAAACCAACTTCAGCCGCCCAAGTGCCCGGCCGACTGTGGTTGCAACTCGTCCTAATCGGCCACGGCCGGAGGAATATCAGAATGATGCCGAGGCAGGCGAGCGCGTTCCATTGCAGACCCCAGTCAAGCGGCAGTCCTCTAAATCCGGCCTGCGTAGCATCTTCAGCCGTGAAAAACTACCCCACAAAGAGAGCACCGACTCTAAGCTTTCTGAAATCGAGGAAACGCAGGACCCTGCGGCACAGGCTGCCCCAGACCTTGCTGCCACGCTTTCACCAACACTAGCTACACCTAAAACAGCGTTCTCCACGCCGACAGTTGTGACTTCACCTATAGCGGATCCTCATCGGTCCAAGCCCTCAAAATCTCGCCAGAAAACTAACGAGGATAAGCCAGCGGCGGGTGAGATAGGCTGGAAACCTCCCCCGCTTTTTCAAGCCTACCCACAGGCAATAAAACATGATAATCTCCCGACCCCTTCTCTATCTGCGGAATCTATTTTGCGGATCCAGGCCACATCTTCTGCGAAAAAAAGCAGCACTCCGAACGAATCATCCCAGGCAGACAATCCAGCGGCTCGGAAGAAGGAGGCCAAAGAGAAGAAGAAGCACATGCGCTCCTTGTCTGAGACTATCGGCAAGACTGACTGGTCTCCAAAGATTTATGTATTGGTCACAACCGGCTATATCTTGCAGTATTCTGGTAGCGGAAAGTATGATAGGCTGCCGGAGAAGATGTTGCAGCTAGGTCCCAAGTCTGTAGCATTCGCGAGCGATGCGATCCCGGGCAAGCATTGGGTTTTGCAAATTTCCCAATTGAACGATGAAAATAACGCTGCCTCAACTGACACGCATCGGCATCTATTCTCCCGCTTTGGTTTCCACCGTTCCCATGCTCGCCGTTTAACCCGGAGTCTTCTTCTAGTTTTTAACACCCCGGAAGAGATGAGTTCATGGCTCCTAGCTGTCAGGGCTCAGATCGAGGCGCGTGGAGGGAAGAAGTATGTCTCGGAGAAAGCGGTCGACGATGACACGGAGCATCAACTGGAGTCTAAACCTAGCACCCGACAGTTGGTAAAGAAGGACCCTAACCGGTTCTCCCAAGCATATCTACATCCTCAGGCAGTGATTGGTGTTGATGATAAAGATTTCAGTGATCAATCTCGCCGAAGCTCATATATCTCATTTAATCGACGGTCGCTGGTTACGCAGGCGACTCCCGAGTCGCGCTCCGAATCGATGTCCACGACACAAACGGAGGTGACTTCTCCAGTCAGTGGCCAGACGCGTTTCTACTCTATGGGAATGAAGCCCGAAGCAAACGGGGCTAGTCCACCTCCAAATGGCAGCGCTATTTCAACGGCCCTTTCTACGCCAGATGCCCCGCCCAGAAGCCCAACATTCTCGGTCTCGATGAAGCGAGAGTCAGTGTACCCGTCGAATGCACCAGTAATAGCAGAAACTTCAGACCTTTCCCAGCCTCAACAAACGGTGCCTGATCCCATTTTGCGAAGCGCTTCGCCTCCAGCCCCGAATTTCAGTGTTCCATCTTTCAGCAAGAGATTCACAGCGAGAATGGGGCAAGGTCAGATGCAGATTCCTCGGTTTCCCTCCGCTCACAGAGACGAAACCGACACAGACGAGGCTAACGCTATATCTGCCTTCCCGTCTCCACCGCAGTCTCCGATCAAGAGCATCAGCAGTGTCGCAATGAGCGAATCACATGAACAAGTCGTACCTTTCCGTGATTCCCCGCAGAGGAGGTCTTTACGCATATCCAATTCTGAGGATTCGCTCGGAGATTCTAGAATTATGGACCCAAAACTGCAGCATGCTTTGCGCATTTCAAAGGCCGCCGCCGCCGCCACCGCAACATCAACTCTCGCGCAATCCTCGCGACCCACTAGCATTATCGAGCACGAGCCTGCCCATTCCCAAATCCCACAATCGCTCCCGGAGACCGGCTATCAAACGTCTCGTCGGGAACAGCAACGCCACAGAGTCTCTGTTTTTCCCACAGCCACGCCAAATCGTCCTTCCACTGGACCCATGCTCCGTCGCAAGAGTATGCCTGGACTTTCAGTTGGACCGCCAGCATTACCTCCTCCTGACTGTCCTTTACCTAAGATTCCTTCTCCAATTGAGCCATCGCTTCCTGAGATAGCTGAGCAATTTCCGGACCCGCGTGTGTGCATATCACCGCCACCATCGAAAGGCAGCCGACTGCGTCGGAAAAGCCTGGCCAGTGCCGCACCTCGTCCTACTCACATGCCTCTTCCACAAGCAACACAAAGTCTTGGTTCTCGACATCCACGGACCATCAATGGTATATAAGCCATTGGCGGCTCCTGTTTTTGTTCAGCCATATCTCAATCCTTGGCCATCGCATATGCATATAGAGAGCGACCTCTCTTAACTATATACCACTATTCTCCTTTCTCATCATATCTCACTACGCCAGAATCATTTTCTTCTTTGCCGGCTTTGATAGCCCAGTGTCTAACCAAAAAGCTTTATACCATATCATACTGCATCAGCGCTTTACAGTTTCGAACTTCATATAGCATCACGGCCTCTTTTCTTTTCTTTTCTTCTCTCCTTGATTTGCAAACCACCCTCTCCTTGCCTCTCTTTTTCTTGCTCTCAAACCATTACCTTTATCTCCATAATAATGCCGTTATTCGCGAAACGTTTTTCTCTTTTATTCCTCACAGCGATGAACGAATCAGGATATCCCACGCTGTCAATTGCTTACTGGTTATATATGATTGTTCTTCTTGTTCGTGTTAAACGTACCATGATATACCATGTATGCCATGTTCCTGTATATATCGCTGTATATCGGAGTTTTACTTGCGACGCCGGTCGCTGTTGATGCTATTCTTCTTTCTCAATAAAATGCTCTGGAAGTGGACTGTCATTTTGTTTACTGAGTATATCTGATAGGATCCTGTGAACTTCGTGAGTTATACGGAGCTATGAAGGGAAGTTATGACAAGTGATGTCGAGGAATCCTCTGAATATAGTAAATATATACACTCATCAGTAAAACTATATACAGCCTGATAAAAAAAATCCACTAATATACATTGCTCAATATAAGGGTACATTGGGTATCAAATAAATATAGCTTCGTGTCACAGAACGGCTTTCAAACGTCAAAATTGTGTGGGTAGAATATAACCATAAGATCTGGTATCGATTCTCATCCACTACGAAGGGACACCTTCATATTCCCATCCGTGGATGATTCTCTTGCCTCGTCTCGAGTTGCGCCTGTTGGTGTTACACTTGACAAATAGTGTCAGTGCGGTGATAATGCAAATAACGATGGCTGCGATAGCAGATACCAGTACTGTTTTTTTCTCCAGCTGTTTAGGATCCGACGCATATGGACATTTCGCACCAGGCCCACCAGTCACCCAACATGACGTAATATCCCGAGAGTTGAAGTCTAGCCAGACCTCACGCTTAGCGGGGTCTGGAGAGGTGGGATCAATGATGTTGATCGGTTGAGTCAGGAGGTATCGGTAGAGGTAGGTATTTTCTAGGCTTGTGCGAGGAACTCCCATGGTCGTATTCTCTGGGCAAGCCTCCCAGTAGGCTGCGCTGTAGCTATGTGCAGCACTGGATATTGTCCAGGTATATGGTAAGTTCGCAACTCGGCAGGCTACACGTCGCACATCTGTACAGTTCGCAACGCGCCAGTGGCCACCTAGTGACACGTCCATGATCGCGCATCGGTCATGTTGGGGTGAATCGATATTGTCGGCCACATCTGCGCCCTGGGGTTCCCCCTCCGCCCATGCCCACGTAGAAGATAGAGAGATATTTTTATATGGTGCGACTGCCTTGTCGGCGGTCATATTGAATAAAGTGCTATTAACGATTGGTGTTAACCCACACGCGGTTAGATTCACAACCCTGTCTGACAATTCACGCAAGGCATAGGTCTCATTCAAGCCTTGAGGCTGAGACAGGCTACTTGAGAGCGCCCAAGAGGAGTTCACCTGAGATACCTGGGAAGCATCTGCGTCATAGAGGCAACCGTAATCCAAGCCTCCTTCATCGGCCGAAGGCGCGGGTACTAAGGATGCTAGGTATTTTGGAGGAAAGATGACCTCGCTTTTACCCGCGGTCAAGTTGTAGTCCTCGAGTTGCGGGTCCACAAAGCCATACTCAAGAAAGAGACGGCGCTCTATTGCAAGTTGCACATATTTCGAGCCCGGCCAGCCGTCCGGGGTACTTTGTGTACCATCCGAGAGTTCGTAAGTAGTGAAGTATTCGGTAATAGGCTTGTACCCATCATCAACTTCATACCAAGACTCGTTCAGGTTACTGCGCTCATCGGCCAACTGTGACGGTGTGTAGATATAATGAAAAAGACGGTTATCCATCAAAACATCAACTCGCTCAGAAAAGGACGGCAGCCCATCACCCGATACCTTTGATGCAGGCTGTTCTGGAGCGGCAGCGCTAGCGGCAACATGCAGGTTGAACGTTAAGTATCTGATGTACACATTCAACTGAGACGTTGTGTCTTTGAAGTAATCCTGGAAGACATCGATGAGGCCGGATAGATCGAGGTTGTCTGAGCACAGATAGGGGCCTAGCTCATAAACCGGCCATCCTGATGAACTGGAAACGACGGTAGCAGTACTTTGAGCAGCACTGGCAGTTGCAGTTGGGGTCATTGTAGGCGTCGTAGAAACAGTGACAACGGGGACATTCTTTGGAATGGCCACTGGACAAAACGTCCAAGCCCGCGAGTCCACCGACCAGTACAGGTCGACGAGAAAGCGTCGGTATCCAACCGATAACAGATTGGATATACATTGTTCAGCGGACTGCGTCTCGAATACATTGTTGCCAAAGCATGCTGCTGTCACGGATACGCCAGCGCTTGTGATATAGTTGATTGGAATTTGGCCGGCGACATCTCTTTCGCTCTATTACGGTGTTTAGCTGACTTTGTATTTTTCTTTCTCTGTTCCCCGAATTGGGATGGGTAACTTACCAGAAAGACCGTTTCCCATTTCGTATTAATGAGGGATGACTGGTCAGGATTGTAATTTAATGACATGGAGCTGCTGAAAGGTTATGCGCATGGCAGACTGGCAGTACTAGAAACGGTTCGCGCAGGGGCAGCCATAGAGACAAGAGGGAAGGAAGAAGGGAGAAGGGAGGAGAGGGGGAAAGATGAAGTAAATGAACTGATAACACGGGCGATGACGGAGATTCCTCCGCCGCAATGAAGGCGGTGCGGCGTGGCTTACGGCTTTACCCTTTTGAGAAGAAACATTCATTATCTGGCCACTTCTAAAGTTCCCGTTGATCCTCTAGTTTCAACTACGACCGTATTACTTCGTTCTCCCAAGTCGCTAGACATTTTTTTTCTCCATCGAGTTCGAGGGAATCCTCGCCATCCCCGCCCGCACTATTATTAATTGATTCCGACTCCATCTCCGTCTTTCACATTACTACAAAATGGCGGCGCCTGGCCAGCCGTCTCCCCAGCAGATTGCCGCCATGCAGCAACAGTTCGCTGCTGAGGCCGCAAAGCGTGGCATGACTCCGGAGGAATTCGCTAAACAGCAGCGCGAACAGCTGAATGCCGAAGCCGCAAAGCATGGCATGTCCACCGAGCAATACGTCCAACAACTGAGAATGCGAGCTCTCGCTGCTCACCAGAAGCAGGTCGAGGCTCAACGACAGGGCCAAGGATCGCCACAGCCAGGACAACCAGGGCAGCAAGGTCAGCAAGACGAGCAAGGCCAGCAGGCACCACAACAGCCTCAACCACAACAGACCACGCATCAAGTGCCTGTGAACCCATCGAATCCGCCAGATCCCAAAGCCATCGCAGTTGCGCAGTTCTTGCGATCTCAGAACTTGAAGCCGAGGACGTGTATCATGGATGGACAGAGGAAGGACATGTTCAAAGGTGCTTATCTTATGAAATCTAGATCCGGTTGTCCGCAACACGGCTGATTGATTATACAGTGAAACGTGCCATTCGCGCTTTGGAGTCGCCCGCATACGCTAAAGCAGCCGCAAAGAAAAACTCCCTCCTCCCTCCCGTAACGGACCGTGCATCAGCAGAGAATGTATTCAAGCTCCTCCCTCTATCGCTTCTTGCCTTGCGCGTGTCGAAAGTCGACCCCCATGCGGGTCACAACCACGCGAAGCCCAAGAACCGAGTCAAGGGGCTGTGGACCGTCAAGATTGAGCAACACCAGGAAACAGACCCTATGATGCACTACGTATGGCTGTACGAGGGACCTCAATGGAAACAGAAGGCTATGGCCGCCGCAGTGGTGGCTGGTATTTTCGCTGTTGTTCTCTTCCCATTGTGGCCTATGGTGATGAGACAAGGTGTTTGGTACCTGAGTGTTGGTATGATGGGTCTACTGGGATTATTCTTCGCCATGTCGATCTTCCGTCTTATTCTGTTCTGCGTCACGGTCTTTGTTGTCCCTCCTGGTCTCTGGTTGTTCCCGAACTTGTTCGAGGATGTTGGCTTTATCGACAGCTTCAAGCCTTTGTGGGGTTGGCAAGAGGTATGTTATTTCATCCCGACTATATGTTTATGGCTTTCTCTAACATCCTTACGACAGAGTAAGAAAAAGAAGAAGTCTAAGAAGTCTTCTGGCGACGCATCCAAGCCCGCCAAGTCTCCAGTCTCTCAACCAGCCGACTCTGCCCCTTCAGCGACCACAACGGCAACCGCGGCCCCGGATACTTCGAGTGCCGTCAAGCGTGATCTTGCCCCTCGAGTTGAAGAGGTGACAGACGAGTAATGGTATAGATCTAGCCACCTTGGTCTTTGTAGGTTCTTTTTGCATCGTGTTGCACAGGATCGTTGCTGCTAGGGATAAACTTCACATTCTGCATCTGTATGCTACCTGGTATTTATTACTATCTTTGTTCGTCAGCTATTCCTTGTCACCTGTTTGAAGGGTTTATTCATGTTGGTTCGGGTTATGGGCGAAATGATTGCAATTCTGTATGAGGGTTTCAACATACAAAAAATGAAGTTCTGCTTTTCCACAAATAGCTCCCGCTATTCATACAGTTTTCTTGAGGGTAGTAGTCCCAAAGTGCAACAGGATTGTATAGTTGGACATTAACAGTGCAACTAGCTTCATTTGGCCGTATTCCTATATAGACCCTTTGGTCTACAGTGAGACCTTCCAATAGTCAACTGGCATAAACCTCAGGACTCCCCGGGCAGATATGTACGTATCCTGGACATGGGAAACACCGAGTTCCCTAGTAGAGGATCCAGATTCCGTTAAAAATAACTGTTTCTAGAGGACTGGAACGACGGTGTTAGACATGTGATTTTAATGGAGTCCACGGAGGCAATTTGAGTATAGAAATGGGGAAACACTGCGTATTGGAGGCGCTTTCATGTCAAGTTGGTACTGCACCATAATGCTATGATATTGCTTCACTACGCACTAGTATCAAAACTCAAATATAGTCTTTGTATGTGAACATCCACACAAAACGCCAACTAGACGAGCTACAGAAACATAATCTTTTGATGTCTTTCAGCTATTCACTTCAACCTCTGTTATCCTTCAACTGTTCACGGTTTGTGGCGGCTGACGACCAGTGACCTACTAGTAATAGATCCCTACAGATGTATGAGCTATGTGAATAGAGCGCTTGTTACATGGCTACTTTCTTTCTCGACTAACCATCAACCGTTCATTCCATTCACCAAGGCAGTTCGAGGTTAATTGGCAGATAGCCTCAGATCTAGTCCGCATCTATACTGCCACTAACATAATTCTTTATAATCCTCAGTGTTTCTATCTTCTCTAACATTAGCGAGGATTGGCCTAATTCTTATCCCTGATCACAAATGAGTTTAATCCTCTCTTCTTGCGGCCAGCTATTTTGAGGCCCAAAGCACATTGTTATATTCCTTACTGACTGGCAATCCATACTGTAAGATACAGTGACGCCTCGCCTGTCCTTGGTAGTAAGCCATTCATGAACTAAGACATCTGCAACGTCTTTTCTTCCCTAATAAAACCTATGATCTCCGTTGCGAAGGCCGATATTGGCCAGAGCATTGTAGAATGACGTGTGCTACTTTGATCAACCCCTCTGTAAATGTAGAAATCTCATTCCTTTTAGATGGGAATCAACCTGGCATTGCTGATCGATTTATAAAAGGCGTTATCAAGGACACTTGAGCATATATACAATCGGTCCTTTTTGAGTATAAGCCAATTGTCAGCCTTCATTTTTTATTTTTTATTTTTCATTTTTTATTTTTTTTTTAAAAAAAAAAAAAGATTACCTCCACTTGCCCCGATAACAATAGTCGTATTCCCTGGGGGTCTTGTAATCAACTGAGCCGAAATACCTATCATATAAGCTACGAGCGACTCGTTCCCACTGGCGAGGAAGTCGTATGTTCGAGAGATTATGCTCGCAAAGCAGGATTTCCCACAGTGAAGTAGAAGAAGTACTGGATCAGTTATTGAGACGAAGGAGACACGATAATAGTCATCATGTGTCGTAGTTGGAAAGGCATCCACATGATGATTTGGTTCGGTAAAATCCTTTGAAGACTCTGTTCCTCAGCAGAGCTGGAATGATAGACATCACAGCGAAATTAAAGTTGCCCACAACAAGCGACCAGCAGCACTTTGCACGGTCAATGGCGATACCAGGTGGGTTGTAAAGGAGGGTAATATACTAAAATCATGCGTGGTCTATGAACATTCCGGTTTATCAGTCGGCCGGTAGGAAATTTATGGAGAGTATGTACTCCGGAGTACTATGTGCAGGTACCGAAAGTGGAGTCGTCTGACCCAAAAATTACATGAAATTGGTTAAAGAAAGGGCAGGAAGGACTAGTTAAACTCTGCATAGAACTGTCAACAATTTGGGTCTTAAAATACTCCGTACTCAATAATTCTGTCTATGAAGCTCTTTTTTTTTTTCTTCCACATGCGAATAAGCCAGGCCCAATCCGTTCGTATGCCACCAGGACTAACAATCAGACGTCTCCTAGATCATACATTATCATATCATCTGCTAGCTCCCCGATGAGATAACTGCGGTTGATCAAGCCGCAAGAAGGGCATATCCCGCGAGCTCAGACGACATAGCTCAATAAAAAAAAAAAGAGTAAATTGCGTGTATAATTCTATTCACTTGACATTTCACCAACTGTTAATCGAATAGTACTAGTGGAATACTTAGTGGACCAGTATCACCATTAGTCAGAGAAAGGAAGAACCCGCCAATAAAACACCTAGAGTATTAAATTCTAATAATACTTGTCCGAAACTTGGTCTTTCCCGCATAGCCCCATCTAATACGAGCGATGGCTTCGCAACTATAAGCAGCACATCACAAGGCTAAATTAGATCAGCCGCCTTAATTTATGCATAGGGTGCTTTCCTGTTTCATGCGTCTTTAATCGTCCACTTATTACTAATTAATTGGTAGGTCGACGGTCGACCTTCTTGTTTCCCTCGTTCGTGTTGGATAGTATTAGTCTAACTTTACCTAGCCGGAACCTAGGAAGAGATGCTAATAAGTATGCTAACCTGGGATAGGGTATGGGTGTTCTAGAAGACCAGGGGTTATTTCCACTAGGGCCTTAAAACTTAGACTAAAGCCAAGGGATCCATAAATTGGAGATGGCTGAAGGGGAGAAGATCGCACGAAAAATCTCGTATAGATTCCAAATGGGGTTTAATCGGCTCTAGAAGGATATTATTCCATGTGAATCACCGAGTAATTGGAGATCGTGCTTTTGAGTTCATACAGGAGAGTTGCATGGGCATGGAGAAGGACAAATGCGTTGAGCAAAGACCTAGGTCCCTAAGCAAGTCCCTGCTGTGTACTAATACGATCGACATCCTCGGGTACTTCGGGCTTTTCCTTTAGGGTTCCATGTTACCATATCCTCGGCTCATGATCGACTCGGATGAAGGGACGGCCAAGAGACATTTAAAGACGGAACACTATTTGGAGACGGATGTATGGCTTGCAGTAGTATAAGTAGCTTTGTTTACATTTTACTCACGCTATTGACTTCTAAGTTTGATGAGGAACGGCTAGTACTACTTACGTATGGTATATCCCGTGCATGTCTATAACCGGGGCACAATGGATGGATACTCCGAGTCACCGGGATCGTTATGGAGCCGGAGAGCTCTGCCGGTTCTTTCCAGGAGAAGAAATAGCCCCATTGGGAAGGTCAGTAGAAGGGTCGCGCAATGCGCATCCATGTTGATCAGCCTGGCCAGATACGAACTTCTGCAGATGTAGGCCCTCTGTGGGGAGCTTTGCCAGTGTGCGTCCCGTTTTTCGCCTTCGATGATCATGTATACCGTTCTATATGAATTGTCATTCGTGCGCAACATACTCCGTATAGGAAGGGGGCTTGAAGGGATCGTTCATTGGTCGTCGGCAGTAGGCGCTACCAGACTTCAAAGACCCCTTTTGCGTTTAGGCCAGCGTGTGTCGGGTGCGATCCGACAATGTGGATCCAACACGAATGCACAAGCTTTTCCCAAAGTGGGAAGTGGTTGCGCAGATCACCATGCCGGATATGCGATGGAAACGTTTGCCGAAGTTCGGCCCGGTACTAGATATTGTATGACAGATTTATACAGATCGTTACGTACATTCCAGCGAAGATCATTAGGGAAGAAACAAAAAGTCAAAGAAACATGCTGGGGTATCATTAATAGTATCATTGTAATTAATTGTGGAATGATAGTCAAAATGAATGTACAGGGAAGAAGAGTGCTTAATGTAGGGCACAAGGGGGAATTGAAAAATAAATGGGGCAAAAGGGAAAGGAATGAAAAGATAGTATGTATAATAAAAATTCTTTTAGTGGAGTTGTGAGTCCGCCCGGCACCCACATCATCCACTACTCCGTTTATTTCCGTGAAACTCGTCCGGGTCCGCTGGTTCGTGCGAGATCTCGATCGTTGTCTCCTGGTACACTCCATGGCCCAGGTCGGCCATTTCCATGTCGCCATCCTTGCGCAGGTCTTCAGTGGAGTCCCCGTCGTTTATCGTGTCGTTTATTGTCTGTAGCCCACGGCGTAGCCGAGACCCCACACGCGTCTTCTTGTTCTCTCTTGTTGTAGTTGTGATGTGCGTCTGATACGCGTTCGAGTTGTAGTAGGCATACATCTTATCCGATGTGCTGATCTCCGTATCCAGTAGCAAGTGCCGCCGGGTCAACGTGTACACAACAACGTCTACCAGCCCCGACAACGCCATTAGGGACCCAGCCACGGCGAAGTATCCTCTGCTTTGAACGATGTGTCTAGCCGTCGACATACGGCCTGCTGCCAGTGGAAGAGATAAGACCAGGTATACAATCGGGTAAATAACCATGTAGATGACGACGCGGTTTAGCCGTTTCAGACTTTCTTGGTGTCCTTGACGGAGCATCGCCGCTTGGTTCATACGACGTCGTAGGTGGAAGAATAACATGCCGTAGAAGACAACGGTTCCGAATTCGGCAAGAAAGATCCATAAATAATGGACCCAGAGACGTTCTGTCTCGTGTTCAGGACCAAGCCAGCACTGGGAGTTAAGAGTGTAAGTATTCCCTCTATTCCTGCTTTCGTCAGGAGTTGCAACTTACCCAGCCGGCCTCGGAGATGACGAAAGTCTTGGAACCAAATAACCCCACAGGGATCACTCCTAACACGATAATGAAGACCCATAAACCTACAACGCAACACACAAATGTCCGCTGCGGAAGTTGCCGCCCTCTCAGTACGACTGCACCGGTGTGCATCGCAATGGCCAGGATAAACAACCCACTTCCAGGGTCACCAATCTGAATCCACCAACCTTGCAGGACACAGGCCGCACTTGGATAGTAGACATAGCCGCGCGAAACCCAGTGGAGACATAGCAAGAACGCGGTTGCTTGCTGGAGATCAATCAGAAGAAGATTGTAAATCAACACGACATATTGGTTGGCGGCGAGGGGACGTTTATAGTAATGTTTCCAAAAGATAAAACGGTATGTGAGGAAACTTAACAAACAGAACGATGCAATAAAAGAACAGAGGGCAACCACCCCCATAGCAATAAACCCCGCTCTATCCCTGCCCATGAGAGGCTCTTGTGTTGCATTTTGCCGTT